AATTATTTCCAAACCAAACTACAGGCGGGACGAGTGAGCATGAATGGTCTGGACTTACTATTTCTTCATTATACGTACCTCATCCCAGTCAATGACCTCGAATATGATGCCTTTCTCCAGTCGGTCTGTTACTCTGAGCATTAGATGAAGCTCATCTATGACAATGTCCTCAAGGGCAATTTTAAATAGGGGCTGGTGTTCACATCCTGGATCTTTATGCCATCTTGGTCCAAAGTGTCTTTTCATGCCATCTGAATTGTAGTGTGTGGAACCCACTGACATCTTGCACCTATGAATTGAGATTATAATGGCTATTAAACATCAAATATCAACTAAATTATATTAATCTCAACTACATTCCATTTATTTATTAATTGGTTAAAATATACTTCCTAAAACTGTTTTGTGCACAGTGATCATTTAAAGAATAATGCTAACACATACCTGTCATTTTTGTGTATCAAACACCAGATGCAAGAATTGTTTGAGGTTGCCCCTTTCATGCCCATTGCAAGTAACAGGAACTGTTTGGAAAAAAAAATACATTTTATGTTTTAAAAAGCTCAACTGAAGGAGACTAATTCTGGTTGTAATAATTTGTCTTAGCAGTAACTACCAGTAGGATCACATACCTTGTAATCACCTCCCAAATGAAAATGAAGATTCACTCTTTTACCATCAATGTACAAGCAGCCATCATCTATTAAGGTGTTGACTGCATCAATGACATTCTTGAGACCATCTGACAGTGTGCTGTAGTCTTCAGGTCCCTTGACTACAGCAATTGTGTGGTTCCCTAAAACAAAGAACAGAAAAATTGGGATCACATCTCAAACAGTTTTATGCTTCCAGCAACAGATTTAGTCGTTAAAGGGACTCTGCCCTGGATGTTTTATTTTTTATTTATCGTTTACCTGAACTGGACAGAATATTTTGGCCCTCTTCAAGCAGCGAAAATGAGCAAACAAACAGCGAGCTTGAGTGCGACATCCTGGCCCCATCCCCTGATATCTTGACCTTTACTGTTGGTTCTTCATCAAGTGTGTTGCTTAACTGCAATGAAAATTTAATAAAGTTAAAAGTACATAATTGTTTATTATTACAAATTATATATAAATGTTATACATTGTTGTTGATTATCAGAAAATAGTATAAAAAATGGTTAAAAATATAAACAGTACTGTATATAAAATGTATCTTT